GTCCTGTGTGGATTTGTAACTGTGTGTATTATTAGTATTCAGCACGACTGTGTGTCAATTAAAAGGCAGAATATTACAGTGGTTAGCATAAGCAAGAATTTAGTCCAATGAAACTGTTTATCATCTTGATATCTTCCGACAAAAATTGACACTACCGGCGTCACCACGGCGTCCCCACCGATCGATTTAACGTGACGTTGTTATGTGGGTGTTTTATAGATTATTGAGAATGGTAATACTGTATAACCGAAAAAGATAATATGACAGTTGAATGACCAACAGAGACAACTGAAGACAATAGTTCGTCATTAGAAGTTATTTAGTTATAACTTTATTCGGAAAGTTAATCTCAAAATCGAGTTGCCGTCCCCGGCGTTGTCCGTGACGTCGTATGATTTACCAATTAACCCATAAGTCAAAGGCTGGTTACGATTTGAGTATTTTCATTCATCTGGCCATGTAAGTATTAGTGGCGTATCTAGATATCTTTAAATGGGGGATTGATGGGGGCGCAAATGTGGGGGCCTGATGGGGGAGCGAAGGTGTAGTGGGGTAGGGGCTTGATGATCAGTTGAGGGGGGGGTAAATCTGTCACTGAACAAACATACAACTCATTACAATGTCACTCCCTCATTCTAATTTCTATATACATGACTTACTATAGTATTCCTGACCTCTATATACAAGACTTACCTTAATATTTGCTTGTTTCGTCTTACATCTGACCGGTAGTATTTATACCGTTAGTAGCATAAGCGTTATTACATGGGACACGTCAAAACATTCAAATACATTATTAGATGCATTACTGCATTTGTATATCTTATGTTCTTATTAAATATTCGAAATAATTGTTATGAATGAATATAATTTTAAGTTTTAAAAAATGGTTCGGGTGGGAATCCAGGTTATCTAGCCAGATGAAAACCACTACAAATGATGTAATAATAATAATAATAATAATAATAATAATAATAATAATAACTTGGTATTATTATTATTACGATTATTTCCGTAAGTTTAAATTAAGCGGCTAATAATATTCAACAGGATAATAATAATAATAATAATAATAATAATAATAATAATAATAATAATAATAATAATAATAATAACTTGGTATTATTATTATTATGATTATTTCCGTAAGTTTAAATTAAGCGGCTAATAATATTCAACAGAATAATAATAATAATAATAATAATAATACTTTGAAAATTAATACGGATAATATTCAACAGGATAATAATAAAATAATAATAAATAATGGTATTATTATTATTATTTCCGTAAGTAAATAAACACATCTGTATCTGGGCTATTGACAACAATGTGACTGTTCGACTTTGCACACACACTGTGCAGTATCATCCTTGTTTCAGTTCCTCGTGATGCAGGTAGCACCTACTACAACGCCGTTGTTTCGAATAACATGACATTCGTTGCTATGCGCCACGAAAACATGGACATCAGAAGGAGTCTCCCTTTCATACATTCTCCATCTTACAAAAAAGAATTCGACAAGTCATCGTAATCATCATCATCATCGTTGTTAACAACATGAATCTTTAATATTGTTATTATATAAACATATAGGCCTATAAAAAGGTAAAGAATTAAAATTAATAGAAATAAGAAGATTAGAACACAGAGAACAAAACGAATGTCAACGATATCAATCCGTAAAGTACTGTCCATCCTATCCTATCTTTATAGATCGAGTGTTCTTGTTCTTGACTTGGGATTGCAAAAGAGATCCAGCACAATTAATAATCATTTTTACGCTTTAAAAAAATATTTAAAATATATAACTGCGCTATTTCCGGCCATCTAGAGTGTCATCATTATTCTTTAAACTTTATTGACACAAACCATCTAGCATTTCCTCATCTCCCCCTCCCCTCTAACGAAAAATCATGAATCCACCCTTAATTTTCCAGCACTCCACTTGAAAAAATATTCTGAAATAAATTATACACACACCCTTGCCTGGAGAATCGTCAGAGCTTAAGTTTAATAGACACAGCGCCCTCAGTGTACCGACGCCATTTGCGCGTTTGCTGCTTGGTTGTGTTTGTAATTCTATGCGAGCGCTGGTTTTTCCAAATTTTAATCCGTTTATATCTGACTGAAAATTAAGTAAAGGAAACAAAATAGCACTATGAGTGACAGGGAAGATGGATACGATAGCAGAGTAAGTATTATTTGTCTTTCCAGTTGTTAAACACTTAATTAATATTATGGATGCTATGGTAGGTACACCAAATCGTTTGCATCGTGGTAATGGCTTCTAAAAATGCGGCCTAGCACAAGGCAGGCTATAAAAGTAGGCCTAGGTAAACGCTGGGTAATATGGTTGTTAACCTGCCTATGTCTTAACCTACCATAACTATTGAAACATAGTTAAGAGGCCATTATGTGTGTAAAATTTAAATTGTTGGAAGAAGTCTAATGTATTCACTAAATTGTCCTTAAAATCTCACTGAAAATAATGAATGGTGGTGTTGCTTTTTTTTTTTTTTTTGGGAATGCCATCCATTTCGGCCGCATGTATTTTGCATCCAGGAAATTAAGTGTATTTTTTTTTTTTTTAAATATTAAAATATACATTAACCTACTTTACAAACATAAATATAAGTTTACCAGTGAAAATTTTCAGTTGTAGTGTTTTTTTAAATCTAGGAAAAGGAAGATGCAAACTCACCTCAACGGGAACAGCAAAGCAAAAGTAGATCTCGTTCCAGATCACGTGGATCGTACAACTATCGGTCTGCTTCAAGAAGTCCTCGACGTTCTCGCTCAAGGTCACGCTCGCCTTATGTCAGCAAGAGACGTAGTGGTCGTCGCAAGTACTCCCGTTCTTATTCTCGAAGCCCAAAAAGGAGATAGTATGATACATTTTTTTTTTCCACTCCACACTTTCTTTTTTCCACTCCACACTTTCTTTTTTCCACTCCACACTTTTTTTTATATTAAGCCATTATTATTATTATTATATACAGTAGAACCCCTCAATTACGTACGGCACGGGCCCAGAGCTGTTTGTAATTGCGGGTATTCGTAAATTCCTATATATTGCACTGGTACTACTTACACTGGCACAAACTAAGCCTAGGCTAGGCCCACAGGCCTACGCAGCCAAGTCTGAGGGGGCCTAGGCTTACAGTAGGCAGTTTCTAAGCATTCTGATATCCCACTCTAGGCCCGCACGAATTTGTTTTTAATCAGACGTTTTACCTTCTCAAATACCTAGATTGTGGATTTTACTGCAACACAACTTCCATAGATACTTGTTTATTAATATTATGTACATTGATCATTCAATAAAACAATCAAGCACTACGTTGACTCTTAAAGTTGAAAATCATGATTAAATAAAAGTAGTTTATTATAAAAAAAAACAACAACAAGCACGATCACGTTATGACTTCATTGTCAAAAGAAGTACATGTGGTGAGAGTAAAATCCAGATAGATCGTTCTGGGCATGCGCATGGACCTGCATGGGCAGTTTTGAAGCAAACAGTTTGTGTGAATCAAGTTAACGATCGTGTTTTGAAATGAAAGTGACATTTCTTAAGGTAAAGATAATGCAAAAATGAACGCAAAAAGATAAAGCATGAACTTGGGCTGATAAACCAACATCGTAAGATAGCATTGTTTTGTGAATAAAAATATTTTAACACTCGCTCTTCTTCAAACTAGGATACATGGACAGCATTGTTTATTTTGAATTAATTTATTGACGATATTTTACAGCGTCACCCAAGATGCATCAAGCGTCACGGCTAGCTTGGGAGCGTCACAGTGTACCGTGACGAAGTCCCAAGCGTTGCGGTACCGTGGCGCTTCAAGGGCCTGGGGAACTCATAAGGAATTCACATTTTATGGTGAATTCCTTTTACTATTACTAGTCAATTGAATAAATCAATTTGATATATTGTTAAATATTATATTCTGTTTTTCTCTTTCTTTTATGTTTTTGCTGCATTTGCTGGTTAGTTCTAGAAGGTAAGTTATGTATTTGATGAATTTAATTAATAAAAAATTAAATATGGTAGAAAAATTACTTTTTACTGACTCGAGCATTTAACCAGAAGTTAAGGTAAATACTGAAAAACAATGTTAAAAAGTGATGTCCTTAAATTACACCTTACAGTAAATGCATCGATTTCCTAATACTAAAAAAATTCTAACAGGATATGACAGTATTAAGACAACTCTGTATTTATAAAATATAGAAACATTAGACTTAAATGAAATGTTATTTTTTGTTGCATTTGATAACATAACTCTAAATTGAATACAAAAGTAAATAGTTCAATTTCAATTCGCAGTCGATCTCGATCACCATATGTGCGCAGACGAAGAAGTAGGAGCACTTCACCAATGTCGGACAGACGGCGACACATTGGAAACAGGGTGAGTGTTTGGAAAGCTCTCATTGTCTATTACTCAAAACAGTATTTTATCATACATATTTGCTGTTAATTGGTATATGGCATGGTTATAAGGCTTAGAGTGAAATAATAAGTAAATCATAATAATCTAAAATCTTAATAAAAAATTCAAGCATGCAATAATATGCCTATACCGTGCATATAGACCTAGTGTATACAAATGTGTAGTGAAATTGTATGAAAACATTTGAACATTAGCAAACAAATTTCATGTGTACTGCATTGTTTTATTGTTTTCCATATTTGTGATAAGGTTGAGAGTTATAATAGTATATCCTTTGATTCATTGCAGGAAAATCCCCCAGAAAGCACATGTCTTGGTATTTTTGGTCTGAGTCTGTACACTACAGAGCGTGATCTTCGTGATGTCTTCAGTCGCTATGGACCTATTGAGAAAGTTCACGTTGTATATGACCATCAGGTAAGGTGCAAAAAGCTATAGTTGTATTTTTTTTTTCTTGTAGTGTGTGGCCATCAACAGCATAATAAAATATGAGGGATTTTTGAATGCTGAGAATATATAATTTTATTTGAATTTAACAATAAAACAGTGTATAAGAAAGATTTAAAATGTTAAATCAACTAATCCTTTGAAAAACATGTAAATGTAAATAATAAAGATACACTAATGTAAGTGTCTATAGGAAGCTGACCATTGAGCTGTGAGAAGCATTTAAGCAACTGCTGAACTGGTAAGATTATAGATTTTGCCATGTTTTTGTCACAAAGCATCCAAAGACTAGTTAGCGATTGGTCACAGGAACAATCACTTTATTCCAGAGTAGAATAACTTTATACAATTAGCCACACTTTTTTTCTACCAGACTGGCAGATCAAGAGGATTTGCATTTCTCACCTTTGAGTCGTATGATGATGCTCAAGAGGCTAAAACCAGAACGAATGGTATGGAAGTAGATGGCCGTAGAATCCGGGTAGACTTCTCCATTACCAAGAGGGCACATACACCGACCCCTGGAATATACATGGGAAAACCAACAAGGTATGTAGAAATAACGTCAAAAATTCAATTAGAATTTTGTGTATCAGTTAAGTCATTTACTTCCAACCAGAAACCGATAAAAGAATAATTAGTTTTCACTGATTTACAGACATTTTACAGTACTACAAATATCCTTAGACGAGACTGTTTTTTTATTCCTTGTTTTGCGTACCTATTTTTTTGAAGATCATCAGAGAAGGGCAGAATCAAAATTAAATTAAATTGTTATTTAGTAAATAGTTTTGTCAAAAACATCCAGACATAGGAGAAAATAAAAATAAAATTGTGTTGGTGAATGTAGAATGGGATGGGTAAATGCTTCAAATTTATATAATTAGGAAGAAATATACATATCTTGCCTTTGGAGATTTCAAGGCTGCAGATGGTGTAATAAAGAAAAACTTTTTTTTTTTTTATTCTGATATTTCCACTTTTTCGTGGTGACGGGTGCGCTAATTGGCCAAAAATAAAATTTTATTTTTATTAGAAATATTTGCAGTCAGCGGTTTCACTAAACAAGGTATAAAAATACCAGCCAATATAAGAGTCTATGTAAAAGAATATAGGAAAGGTTATTTAAATGTCAGTTCGTCAATGGGGAAAATTTTTTTCTCATTCAAATTTTTAATTGTAAGTTAAAAAATAAATTAATACACAAATGGGCATTCCAAATATGGAATTTGATTTAAAAATTCTGTTTAGCTTGTGACAGACAGTACATCTTTAAAACAGTCGCATACAAATTCTATTGAATACTCAAAAAAATCATCACTGTTTCTATTGCCTCGAGACAAATATTAAAGATATCAAGACGTACAAATAAAGAATCGTTTCTACTTTTTCAGGCCAAGAGATCGTGATTATGGTTATGGTCGTCGACGTTCACCTTCGCCGTATCACAGTCGTGGATCGCCAAGATACAGGAGCAGATACTCGCGTTCTAGGTCAAGATCGTTTTCGCCTCGTAAGAATTTTTTTTTTTCATTTATATGGTTCCCAAGGTCCTGGGTTCAATTCCTGTCACGACAGAACTTTTTCTCATGACAAAAACAACTCCACTCCCTAAGCCTCATAAAGAGACTTCACTGACAAAAGCATCACATTATTTCATTTATTTAAAGAGGGCCCCTGAATGTCACCTGACCTTGTAGGATATACTGGAAGGGTCACCCTCTATAAATATGATTTTTTTTTTTTTTTTAAATCTTACCTGTATAGGATTTCCAGTGTAATGCCAAATGAGAAAAGTCATAAAATTTTGCTTGAATATTCTAGAAATACTATCGTTTAATAGTTCAATAATATATTCAAAAAATTAAAAAGATCTAATATGACTGCTTTTGGCATTTGTTTAGATGTTAAATCAATGATGTTCGTTCCTTTAAACAGATTAACATCAGTGACATTATATGTATAATGGTAATTAAAGAGCCATGAAAATTTGATATATGCCAAGTGAAATGAATTCATAAGTTAATTAGTTGTTCTTAGGTCTCTGGCTTTGTATTAAAATTATATTTTTAGTTGGATGAATGCATACTTAATTTGCATCATCTGTTAAAATCATACATTTTTGCGCAAGATTTGTAAAAATTTCAACAGACTTTAATTGTTTAATTTGTGTATTTCAGGTCGGTACTGAGAACAATACTAAAGAGGAAACCATCAATGCTGAATCCAATTGTGTTCAGAGTGTACATACAACAGGTTTTGGATATCAATCAGTAATGGTCCACATTAGAGGCACTGCTAGATCTCAAGAGTGCAGCTGGCCTTCAAGCCCCAAATTGCAAGTCTTAAGGGTGAGAAAATATGTTTTGCATAAAAAAATAATGGGATGATGTGTGGTTTGTCTCTCTCTAGCTGTTCCTTAAAAAAAATACTGTAAAATATACTAATGTTAATTACCTTCTTAACACGTCTTGTAAGCAGGTTTTATAAGTGGGAATCTTGATGTAAACCTACATGAAACCAGGTTTTTGAAAAGTAATTACAAATGTACCCAAAACAATCCGACAACTTAAAACATTGTTTGTTTTTCAATATTTATAGTTTTGTTGTAATTGTTGTTATTAATTCATTGTTATAAACCTATAAGATACATTAAAAGTTTAAGGGGCTCGCCTAAACTTCATTGACACAATGTTAAAAGTATAACAATATTGAAATCCATTGTTATCCTAAGCCAACACTTGTTTTCAAAACCATGTATTTAATTAACCATAATTAAATTTCATAGTGTATACTGTAAGCAAGTGGATGTGATCTACTTTAACAGGTTTTGTTGATGTATTAACTTCATGTTCTTTTGTTAGATTTTTGGCAGCATTTGTATGGTGGCAGATAAGGTTTTCTTGCAGATAGATGTTAGCATGCTGAGTATATTAGTTACAAAATAGTTTCTTCTGAAATTATAAATATGTGAAGTATATCTTCTCTCACTGTTTTCCTTTACTCCACTGCAATGTGTCCTCACCTAGCTTAAAGAAGCCCTTTATTGTTTAGTTATTATGTTTTGAATTATGAGTAGGATACAACAACCTGCGTGCAAATTGAAGTTTGGGGAAGATAGATATTCAATATTAAGTAAACTTTTCAATAGACGATAGTTTAAAATCACATTTGGTGTACAGGACAAATCTTGGGCTTGCTATTGTAAATTTGAACTTGAGTTCCAGGTTAAGAGTAGAAATTTAGAATAGTTAATAACAGTAAAAAATGTTAATTTGGGGTTTGGTATTTACACAGATGCTTTCATACCCAAGATTTTATCTTGCTACATACCTGATGGAAAACTTACTTAGTTCTGTATTTCATATATTCACTAAAGTATAAGTTGTTAGTTGATTGATTGAATCAGTTTCCCAAGATTTTTTCTGGTAAATGTTGTATAAAATTTAAATTACTTACTGAAATTCTTCAAAAACTGATACGGTGACAAGTTTAAAAGAAGTACTGGTTAAATTCTTTCTTCAATTTAGAAACTAAAGCTTAATTGCATACAATTTGGATAATTTAATGAAAGTGAAAGCACAGTGTATGTTCATGTTTGACCTTGATGACCTGTGAATTTGACCTTCATTAACATAACTTCTTTTTATCCTTGTAGTTATTAAGAATTGAAGATTGAAGTTATGATGAAGAAAATCAAGTAGCGTTAATGAAAAGAAGTTTGAAATTAAAAGAAGAAAAGATGGAAGCAATATAAATAAGAAATTTGGCAGCTTCAGCAAATTTAGAAGTGAAGTAATTATGAAGTTAATTGAAGAAAGAAGCGAGTAGAAGAAAGAAGAGGGGTAAATTGAAGTAATATTGAAGAAAGAAGAGAGAAAATAGATAATATAAAGAAAATAATTGAATGCGCGAGTTTGAAGTGGTTGTAGCAAGAAGACAACAGAAGGTTTGCAATGTTGTTTTTTTGATATGCCACGTGTTTATTTTTTTGATGTGCCTCTTTCCCATGTATGTCTGATACAATGTTTTTTATTGATTTAACTTCCAGCAAAATATGTACATTTTGGAGTATTTTACAACCAGTGTACATGTTAATTCTTCATGTGTTATTGATTATTAAAGAATCAATCTTTTTTTGCAGAACTCTGAAATTTGTTATTTATTACGTCTGTATATTTGTTTGTGATTTATTAAGTCAGCACATTATTGAATCAGTAACATTAAACCAATTTAAATCTCGGTTGGAAGCATACTGGCATCAATGCCCCATACAAACAGACAACTGGAACATTTGCTTAGCGGGATAACCTAAAAAGAATACAAACCCTTAGTTGCAACTTCAAACATTTGACAGATTGAAACAACTTGCTTTTTGCTGATTTGTGAAATGTTGTAATTACCAGCAAATTTAACATGTGTTCATGCAAAGAATGTAATGGCTTACAAATTGAAAGCTAGTAACAAGGTATACGGTAATGTCAAATTACAAAATTAAAATAGCAGCACACTACATCAAACATAAATATTTATAATTTCCTTCATTAGACATGCATGTTATTTCATCTGTGTGGTTCATTTAATACAGTATATACAGTCGTACAGTAGTTGAAAGTATCATAAATGTGATGATTTTCATCAAGATTGAGTCTGCAAAATGAATAACAACAATTTGGCATGTAAAATGAGATGACTTCGAAATTATTTTTAGGCCACGTCGACTTAGGCATGTTCAACTGTACTCTCAAATTTTACGTATGCTCTTACATATTGACAAAATCACAGGAGCAAGTTATAGGACTATGCTCCACCATCACTGTATAGAAAAGCTTGGAGAATAAACAGACTCAAATTAATTCCATATTACTGTATTTAACATTTTTCCAGTCGAAAATTAAACAAAAGTCATTTGCCAATTTATCGACTAGACTGCTAGTTTTATTCAGGGAATGCACAAAATCAAATTACTGTACAAAAATGAAGAGCTGGCTGCAGTCTTATAAATTGTTTTGATGTGATGACCACAACCTATACTATACAGTACACTACAGTATACCGCCTGACCAAATTGCTATGCCGTAAATCCTTGCATAAGTGCCGCTGCGCTTATACATTATTTGGAGGCTTCAATGCTTATTCGAGATCGGCAATTTTCATGCCCGTTGCACTTTTCATGCCCGTTCCTATGTTGCCCATCTTATTTCCCGCAGTACATCATTGTAAGTAGATGTTTATAAACATATGCTTGCGTCTTCATTTTATTATTTATTCATTATGACAAGGCATACATTGTATTTAAAATTGTTTCTTAAAGTGTTCAATTACCACACATTGTAGTATGTACTCTCGATTAAGTGCTGCGGCGCTTATTTGAGAGCAGTGCTTAGCGGAAAAAATTACGTTTGGTGCGCCGCTTATTCAAGGATTTACGGTACTCTTCATTGAAATTCACGGAATTTATCTTAATTACTGTAAACACGTTATATCGTCATTGCGGACTTATAAAATCCGCATACGCCTTAAAACTAAAAGAAAATGCATACATTTTAGAGTCCATACTGAGCCCAAAAAATCCGCAATGAAAATATAACGTGTTTGTATTAATGTTTCTGTTTGTTCCTGACCTACAGTAGTGCTGGCCAATATTATATATTCAATATATACTCTGCCTACTACTAAGATTCTCAACAGTATGCATTGTGTACGAGACGAGTACAGAGTACCGTATAACATTTGGTGTATTACTGTATGCTCGTGCTTATGTGTTCGACAATCAAAGCTGTAAATTTTAATTTGTCATTAATATTAATAAAACGTATCCGTCATCTTTAAAGTGCATCATAAATAGCTCCTTCCAAATAATCGTGATTACTTTATTGCTTATGTAGCGGAATTGTGATTCACAACACACTAGCTCGTTAAAACTGAATTTTTAAGACACTGGATGTTTGAAGAAAAAACTCTGGAATGGTTAACAAGATAGATTTTTGAATATTCAGCAACTGGGGCAAGAAAGGCATAACCACCCGTTTACCAGTTAGGCCTAGTAATTTGTGTTATTCAATCCCAGGCACCTGAGATTTAATCATGTGAACATCATTTATTATTCTCAAGACTAGAAACACCATAAACACCACGAAGCAGTATCCTGTGTAAGAAATGTACCGTTTATATTTATTCCTCTTGGTTTTGAATCTAAATCATTAAGTTGATAAAGAAATGTCTGAATACCTCTGAATATTACCTTGTATTTTGCTAATTCTACAAGTATATAACATTTTTAACGTTAAAGAACTGAAATATTATCTTGTATTTTGCTAATGCTACAAGTATATAACATTTTTAACGTTAAAGAACTGGAAGTAATGTGTGATAAATCTTGTCCTACCCCGAATTCAAATTCGGGAACCTATGCAGACGTCTTAACTAACTGGGCCGATGAGGCTTCGTTGGGAATTCAAACCCAATTAGAAGTAACTAATTTTTCACAAACTTGCATGTGGACCAACGCTAGTGCACGATGCATTGCAGCATGGAGAGGTATGATTACAAATAACAGTTCGATATGACGCGCCATCTGTAGCATTAGCGGGATCTCTAAATTTGAATACTGTAGTATGAATAGGCCTATACTTTCCCTCAAAATTAGCCAAGAAAGCTAATGAAAGCTATCACTTTTATATTATATTTTTATTTAACTAATTAAGACTCTACTTGGCTAATCACAGTACATAAAAATTCACAGCCATATTGCGGACGTTTTGCCAGCTTGAACGCTCATCTCTTCACTTTACAAAAAAAAAGAAAAAAAAACTACAGTGACGAAGAAGTAAATAACTGAAAATAAACATGGTAATTTTAGCGTTTACGGAATTATACTGCAGGCAATTTAGAGTTGTTGATTGACTGTTACAATAATCTCTATATTCGGTTCGGTGAATGTGTTAGTTGGGAACACTGGCTGGTTCACTGCTTGCCCGGTGAAAAACCTTCCGCTTGAAATACAATGATCTCATGTTTAATAGTTGTGGTAATAATATAATTTTTTTTTCTTTTCTTTTTTGTTTTTTAGCAGAGCGTACTTAATGACCCAGAATATAATTCTACATGTCTACAAATATACACTTTCTGTGCTGAAATGTTAAAAACCATAAACATTTATTTTTAAAAACTTTTAGATATTAAAACCAAGTTTTAATTGATTTACTGACGCTTTGTTGTTTGCGTTATTTTTGCCAGCTTAAACGCCGGTAATGCAATGTCTTTTCAGTTTACAGTAAAAAAAATGAATGTAGTGACAAAAAAAGAAACAAAAAAAGAAAATAAAACATGGTAATTTTAGCATTTACGGAATCTTACTGCAAGGCAATGTACAGTTGTTGATTGCCTTTTAATCTCTATATTCGGTTCGGTGAATGTGTTAGCTGGAAACACGGGCTGGTTCACTGCTTGCCCGGTGACAAACCTTCCGTTTAATTCTAATGTATACAGTCTGTGCTGAAATGTTAAAAACAATAAAAATGTATAAAAAAAAAAAAAGAAATTAGTGATATAAGTCAACAACTTTCAGTGATACAGTTTTAGTTGGTTAGTTGGCTGACACTAGCTTTAAGATGTGGTTTGCTTTATTTGTACAGTAATAGTTTTACCCAGTGTCAAGACAAGACAAAAGAAAAAAAGAAAACAATAAAAAACAAAAGAAGAAAGATTATTTGACTGCCTCTAACCCATTTTATGTTTACAATTTATATGGGCCTATATCATTAAAAAATAAATAAATAAATCTGTTTTCTTCTTTCCAATTCCAACTAGAAAACTAACATTTGCTAGCGTGGTTAAAGGCATGGTATTAGTACAGGCTCGATTATACCCTACCCTTCCATGTTTTATGTGCTCGAGTTAAAGAAAGCTGTTGCTAATTTGTCAAGCATGCTTTTGCAGCTGGAAGTTAGTTGTTTTACCAGCGCTAAGTAGCAGTTAAATTCATTTAACTGTCAAAGGTTGCTCTTTTCTGTCCACATTGAGACATTTACCTGCCGTGTCCACCGGAAACTAACACCAGCCAAAAGAAACATCCCATATAAAATAGTAACCCTGCACAAAGTTCACGTGAAATTAAATGACTCTCATCAGCCTAATCATGTTAATCCTGATTGAAGTAAAACGTCCTTAGTTTTCTATCTTGTGAATGGCTGGATGCTGCACGTAACCATCTCGGTAAACGTTTTTACGGTATATTTTTATATGAAAGTATAACTGTATAAGCACACAAAACAACAACAGTATAGGCCTACTAATGAAACGTAACAGATTTATTAATTGTTTTTAACAAACCTTTTAAAAAAACAATCATTGACATGAATGACATAGGCCTCTACCTACAGTATTTGTAAAACATTAAAACACAATCTACAAATATAAATAAAGATATTCAATAATAATAATAGTCCTAACATATTTTAAATACTTCTGAACGTTTATATACTGTACAATATAGGTACAGGTATAGGTGTTGGATGTAGGTCCTACATCCAACACTATTCTTGATGTGAGTATTTGGAGCAATTTGATTGGTTGATTATTAATTTAACGATCATCTGACAAATGTGCAAACATGTGATATAGTAGTGCAGAGAGACTTTGGGTATACTGTAGTTCAAGCATTAGGTTAATGGAACTCAATTTAAATGATTTATGACGATACATAGCTGTATATAAAAGATTGTTACGAAACTTTCTATGGGGGAACTCAATTTCTGAACTAAATCTCCTTAAACCATTAACCCTTCGCCAACTACAATGGCAGCTTTGAATGATTGCTTTGGTAGAATGCGCTTTACTCACGTCCTCAGCTAAGGAGGTATACTATTAATATACCTATACCGTATCTTATTTACTGAAACAGTCTTTATCAATAAACATAGCATGCTGGAGCTACCGGAATATCCGGCGGACTCCGTTATAGGCCTATTATATTTTAATAAATTTGTGTTTTGCAAGTCAACCTTCATTTTGATAATATTCGTCTTCTTATTGCATTTACATTTTATTTTACTTGCTTATTTACATACTCGTTCCTTCCTCCATCGTAATTTTAATTGGTCTTGCAATAGATATTGCTTATTCTTTGCAGATATCTTATTGATTCCGGTTTTTTTTTTATTATCTTGTCTTTTGAACTGGGAAATTGTATAAGCCTATTAACTCTGATTTTAATCGTATTTTTATAAACTAAATTTCTTAATGAATTTTTTGAAACTGTATACATAATGACTGAATTTGTTATTGTATTTTTCCTTTTTTTATTTTAAATTCAAATCGAATGCTTATAAACCTTTTAATCAATTGTAATTTGGCCTTTTTTTGTCTTTGTTTCTTCTTTTCTTACTTTTTGATTGTGTGCTTGTGCAATTTCTTTTCGTTGGTAGGATTTCTGTTTGTGTCTAAAGATAAATTTCCAGTATGCATTCTAAAGTAAAAAAATTTGATTTGATTTTCAACACACATACAAATTCACACTGTAGGCCTATTATAATCCACTTTATAATTAGCATGTGGGAAAACCTAGAATAGGATAATGTAATGAATAATATTAATTGAAACCGACAGAAGATGAATATGACAAGGAATGAAAAAAGCAGTCACGTCACTGAACTCGAACCCGGGACCTGAATCAGCACCTGTAGATATAGCATTATTCCATTTCTTCATTCTTTCTGACGTCACGAATTAGATAGCACTAATATCGTAAGTGATTAGACGCTCAGAGATCTATAAGATACACCGTCTCTGTTGTGGGATGAGATACCCGATGGAGGCTATTCATCCTTTGTCATATTCTTCATTAATTTGACATTGTATACAGGCCTATAGGATATTGATATAGGAAATGTATATATGTATATATATAGGCCTATATATATATAATAACAGTGCTCGTATATATAATATAATGTTAACATTTTTTGTTCATGGTGCAAATCCATTGACAATCAAGTTTGTAGGGTTTATTGAAAACACTGAAGCACAATGTTAGAGGAATAATAAAAACTGTTGCAACTATCGTTATGATTTAAAGAAGATTTACAAGTTCACAGAACGATCTGTATCTAAATAAAATATAAATTGTGTGTGTTTTCCTCATGGAGAGCTTTTAGTTTATTGCCAATGCCGTCTCAGGACGCCGTAATGCCCCTCGCAACGTTCATACCACGTAGGCCCATGGTATACGGTAAAGGTACAGTATCAAAAGATTTTTCTAGTGTGGACGATTATTGTATATCGTGATACTGTGAATCTCCACCGATTAATTTATAGGACGTTTCTGACAGATCATCAGTATTGGAAATTTGGATTGTATTTCTCTGTATTGTACATTATAAATTTATAATGGTAATTGGATAGAAAATAGACATAGGCTTATGTACCGTAAAACTGTATTAAACATGTGAATAGCAAAGACTATAGTCTTCAGCTAAAACATATTTGCCTCGACCTAGCATGAACGTAACCGAAATTTGTGACATAGTAGGCCTAACTTTATAATTAACAAACGAATGCAATATAGACCTACACATTTTTCATTCCTTAACTTCTATAATTGTATGTTTTTTGGTCATGTAGTTTTACTTATTTTAAAGTCAAATGGTATCGTGACATTATTTATTCTCTCAGGAAAATTATGATTTGAGGCCTATTCGATACAACTTAAACCACGATAGTTATTTTTCCTTTTAAGTTGTCAACTTCTATTAGTATGAAATATGAATGAACGCATTTCTCATTGACATAGCAATGTTTTTCTTTCTTTTTTCCAATTTTTTTTTTGCCGCAACCTGGTTTCGCAATCGAGGTAAACTACCTAATTGTAGGCCTAGCCCTCTACATTGCTTTTAAAATTATTCTGCATGAAAATAAGACAGACTACTCTAATAGGTTATCTGCAGCATTTATGTACGATCGTCCTCTGAACCCTCCGTTATACTATTTTCCATCAATGCAAGTACCACTTGTTTTCTTCACTTTATATAGGCCTATTTATATATATATATATATATATATATATATAGCTCTGGTTCTATTTCTGGCTGTTTACTTACGTTTACTTTTTAGCTGTTGCTTATCATTTTTGTATCTCTACTGAGATCCAGCCATTGTTTCCCACAGCATTGT